GCCGCCAGTCACACCACCCATGCCGAGCCGGCACCCGTCCATGGGAGCGCCTCCGCTTGGGCCGTTGCATTCGATCCCCGAGGACAGTCAGCTCGACAGCCACATCGATGTTCCCCTCCCCCCGCCCGTCCCCTCCCCCCTACTCGAACCCGTCCCCTCACCCCGCCCCCCGCCCCCTGCCCGTTCGTTTCCCGCAATCGTTCCCTCCCCCATTCCACCCGTCAGTGCAGGGCCGCAGGCAGATACGAACACCGCCACGCAGCCCTTGCCGACGAGCCGTTGTTGGCAGCCGAGCAGTCGTGTCCCCCATAGCGCCGTCTCGCTCCAGGACGACCGCTCGGACGTGCGGAGCAGTCCGTCGTTGCACTCAGAACCAGCCCGTCTAGAGCCATATCAGTATCAGCAGCCATATCAGTATCAGCAGGCAGACACGAACACCGCCCAGCAGCCATTGCCGACGAGCCATTGTTGGCAGCCGAGCAGTCGTGTCCCTCATAGCGCCGTCTCGCTCCGAGACGACTCGGACGTGCGGAGCAGCCCGTCGCTGCACTCAGAGCCAGCCCGTCTAGACCCATATCACGACCGTGTCGACATCGAGAGAATGCAGCACCACTCCCGAGCCGTGTATATCCCGGACACCGACTCGCAGCAGGTCACTGATGGTAGCCGTCACCCAGAGCTGCGTCGTGACATGTACGGCAATGTCATTCCCATTGGCTACGACGACTCGTATGCTGAGACGGTGCGCCGCCTCTTCCCGACTGGCCGTGATGTGTATGGCCGAGACATCAGCACGTATCCGGACTATTGGCTGCTGTTCTCGCCGCGGGCCCTGAGAGATCCTCAGAGTGCGACGGACATGGTGCTGAGGGCCGAGGAGCAGCTCGCAACTAGATCGCCAATCATCTGGCGAGCCAATCAGATGTACAGAGCGTTGGAAAGCCGCTGGGTTGATGTCGATGCCCAGGGCCTTTTGACCCGCCTAGTGTTGCCGCCCCCACCGCCGCCCTTTTCTTCTGAGCATGGGGGGGGCGTGCAGGCCGCACAAGAGCCACAAGAGCGAGGATACCACCAGACCGAATCACACCATCATGGCCATCAGGGCCACCAGACCGAATCACCCCATCATGGCTACCAGACCGAACCGCCCCACCACCAGTATAGTACGCCGACCCAGGCACAACAGCCGCCGAACACCGTTCAGCCTGGCACACCTGCATCGCTGCACACATCCGCATACCAATGCACTGAGACTGCCTCAGTGGGTGCCGCCTCTCAGGTCTTCGAGGGACCTGTACCTGTCTGCATCAACCAGCCAGGCAGAGAAGCCGTCTACAATGCCCCCAACACCGATGCAGGTCGAGTAGTAGGCCCGCAGGGCAGCATGGTGCCGACGCAGGGAGCAGGCCAGACACCACCGCAGGCAGGAGTGATGCCGACGCCGCAATACCACCAGCCGACACGGCCAATGCCGAGCCAGACGAGACCACTGCCGAATCAGCAAGTGCCGTGTCCACCCGCGCAGTCACTGCCGAATCAGCGAGTGCCGTGCCCACCCGCCCAGTCGATGCCTGGCCCGAACAGCCAACCGCAAGGATGGCCAGGGCAGCCGCCACCACCACCACTAGATAGTCGCCAACCTCACCGCATCCCGTTCTCAACGAATCGAGCCGCCCCGACCGTACAAGCTGAGAATTATACTGGCGGCTATAGCCGCCACTCAGCGGACCAGCAGACACCGACCTTCGGTTTCTCTGATTTCGGCACGCGGACCGCGGCTGGTGGGGGAGGTGACCCGTATGGCAATGGTGACGATGGCAATCGAAACAACCGACACAATGGTGGGCACCGCAATGATGGGCATTGGGCTGGGAATGGAGGGCCGCAAGGGATGCCGCAAGGGATGCCGCAGGGCACACCGAACAGCCAGCCGCCTCCCTATAGTCAGCCGAGCCATCCGCCACCCCCTTATCAGCAGCATGACATGCGCGGCCACCAGCCGCCCCCATACTATCAGCAGAGCATGCCGAGTAACCATCCGCCTCCGTGTCCGCCCCACCATCAACCATACCAGCCGCCATGCTCGCAACCGACTTACTCGTGCCCCCAAGGCTTCCAGTCAGCCACGATAGCCGCACAGACCGATAGACCGCACCCAGCTTCATCGAATCCGCCACCTCCCTCGGCCGAAGTACCCCAGTCAGCCGCCGCCCCATTCGGTGCAGGTCCGCCCGTGTTCTCCTTCGCCAGACAGGGTGGAGGAGGTGGACCGAGTGGCCCACCAGGAGGGCCCGATGGGCCTGGAGGGCCCGGGAGCCGGATGACGACCCGCCAAACCGACGGGAAGGTGGGTATGGCCGACCCAATCGCCCGCCCAGACGCCGACACAACCGAGACGAGGATGACTTCGGAGACGACTCTAATGGGCCGGGTGACGGACCGCCGAACCGACGGGGAGGTGGGCATGACCGACGCAATCGCCCTCCCAGACGCCGACGTTATCGAGATGGCGACGACTTCGATGATTTTAGCGATGACGAGCGAGAGGAGCGTCAGGTTCTCCGTCGAGTGAGGATATCCATGTTCAGTGGTGACGATGGCGAGACGGGCAAAAGCTGGATGCGCCTCTTTGAGCCGTGGCTGGGCTCCGTGAAAGTTAGTGAGCAGTTCCGCCCGACCGTCTTCCGTGGCTACCTGAAGCGAGGCAGCACAGCACACCGATGGTGGTCTTCTCTGAGTGACGCTGACCAGGAGGACTGGCCTACCATCAGCAGGAAGTTCGTTGAGCGCTTCAAGCCGCAAGGGGCCGAGGAGCTCACGTTGATCCGGACCGCCTCGAAGTGCGAGATGCGCACGAACGAACCAGGAGCCGAGTACCTGAAGCGCTTCAACCGAACGATGAGTCAGCTCAGTGGCCTGAGTGACCGGGAGAAGTTGAATGCTCTCACGACCGGCCTTACCGGCGAATGTCACAGAGCGGTCTCGACCTACATAGAAACAGCCAGGACCGCCTTGAGCAGACCACCGACGTACGAGGAGGTCGAGCGCTTCGTCAGAGGCATGGCTTCCGACGGGTCGACGCTGCCGACAAATCACAACCCACCAAGAGAGAGACGTCGGCCAAGACGCCGCCGCGATCGCGACACGCGCTCACATTCCGACTCGGACGACTTTCTCGCCGCCTTAGCCGACGACGGTGAGGAGGACATGTGGTCCGGCGAGGAGGACACCGAGCCGTACGCTGACGGAGAGGCCGACGATGAGCATGACGAGGATCCGAGCAGAGAGCTGGAGGTGCTCGATGGGCTCCTGAGTGCGTTGACTGGCCGACAGGACCGCAACCGATCGGGTCTTGCTCAGCGGATGCTGACTGAGTTGTGCCGCAACCCCACAATGGAGAAGCAGCTCTTGTCCCTCCCGTGCGGCCTCTGCAACGAGCCGCATCACTGCATGGCCCGATGCTTCAGGCTCCGCAGAATCCTCAACGCCACTTGTGGCCCGCCCCTCAACCGCAATAACAACAGACCCAACAACCGACCCAACGGGGACCGCCCTGCACAGAACGACAACCGCAAGAGAGACGACGGCAACCGTGAGCAGCAGGGAAACGACCCACCCACACGCCCCACATGAGGGGTAGCGCGTGTGGGCCCCGCAGCGAACCGATGCCCCTCACCCCAGTCAGATATACATATTTCCACCGACCGTACCTCCGATCCGCCCCTGTCGCTGCCTGTGAAGCCGACGCTTCGGATGCCTGCGAAGCCTCGTCGAATGGGTATGATTTGGACGGGTTTGAGTCCATAATGGGAGAGAATGGCAGCGAGTGTGGGGAACCTGAGAGAGATGACACGCCACCCATAGAATGGATAGAATCATGCCGCCAGGAGGAGGGGGATGACTCGCCCCATTCCCTTCGCCCTTCACTTGTCCGTACCGATGTGCCGTCACGTGCCGAGGAGGCCCGCCAGCATGTTGCCGCCCTCACCCGCCGAGGAGAGAACAATCCCTTCACCGTGTTGTATCAGGATCCGCCCCCACTGAGACGACGCCGACGACCCGCCACACGCCGACCGAGAGTGCGCAGAGCCGCCATCAAGCAGGCCGCCAAGGAGGCTGCCTGGTTGTTCCAGGACTTGCCTCGGTCGATCGTCTGTGGATTCATGACCCCTGCACACAAGGAGGAGACAGATAAGGTCGCGAGTTTGGTGTCGTTTGTGGAGTGTGTTTCCGATGCTGATGACGTGTCTACCTGTTCGTCATCGGGCGAAGGTTTTGTCTCGGATGGGTCGGGGGATACCGATGGATTGCTGCCAGTTGAGTTTTCCCTCGGTGCTGACGACATGCATGTGCACGCCTTGACCGCCCGTGTAGATCATCCCGCCATCCGCAAGGAGCGTAGTAGCTGGACCCGCCCGCCCCCCTTCCCTCCGCCTAGCAAGGGTCACCAGCCAGTCGAGGAGAGCGAAGTGATGATGGACGTAGCCGCTTTGTTTGATGTGTCATCCGCAATCCATTTATCATCTGACATACAGAGCACAGCCAGGTCTGTCTCGCGTGATTCGTCTTCCTCTTCCTGCTCGAGCTTATCTTCGTGGGATGCACGCGAGACCGCCAAGTCGTGCCCTCTCATGCAGAGGTACATTGCTTCTCTCAAGGATGCTCTGAAGGAGGAAGAGAGAAAGATGTGCAGCCGACTGAGACAAGAGGGCCTCACTGATGCGCAGCTAGGTACCGTCCTAGACGTAGAGAGGCATCCCGTCCCCGTCTTAGTCGACACCGGCTGCTCTCCCTCTCTCGTCAGTCTCGATTTCTTCCGTCAGTTAGCATCCGATCCCTCCATGCGAGAAAGCCTCCGTGCCCGTTTCCAGTCGTGGGATGGTGTCATCGTGCCTGAAGGAAAGAAGGCCACACCATTGCACGTCGAGGGAGTCGTTCGCCTGAGGATAGGCAACACACGCAAGGAAGCCCTATGGCCTTTCCGTATTGTACGTGGCCTCAACCGACCTGTTATCGTAGGTATGGACATGTTGGGCTTCGCCACCGCATTCAGTATGAAGAAGCGACGCCTTCGTGTGCCTGGCCTTCCCCTCATTCACTTGATGCCGTACCCAGAGGCTTCATCTCGCTGTGGTGCATTGACGTCCGTCTCTGCACAAGTCATTGCCAGTGACAATTCTTCGTCAACCGAGGATGCATTTGATGTGCTTCTCGCAATCTGCACCAACCGATACGGTGCACGCAGAGCCCTCTTCTGCGTGTGTCGCCTCACCTGTGTCCGAATCCACCGAATCGTCTGCGTCAGGACAGCAGTGTGTGGATCTGGGTGACATCCATGGCCGCACCGATCCCCTCTTCTGCGCACAGCTGGATGCTGTAGAAGGGTACGAGGAACCGACCGATGAGTGCGTGAATGCATTCTTCACCCACCACCCGACCTACCGGTATCAGCTGATGTGTAGCCGAACTGTCCGCCTAGTCGGAACACGCAGATGGATAACCGACCTGACACTGAGGCCACCACACCGAAAGAAAGATCGACCATTTCCCGATTCCTTGCCCTCAGGGACCGCTGGATGGTTCCAGCCCCACTTCACTGACTTGCCGCTGGTGTCTGCTTCCGTTGCCGTTTGCTCGGTCAACGCCGACGGCACCGTCACGATGAAGATGGAGAGTGTCCTGCCCGACGAAGGCGCGATCACCATCCGTGCTGGCCGTCACTTGGGCTACTTCACGCCCCTCACACCAAGTGAGCACATCATGGTCATTCGCCAGCTGGAGGTGCAGCGCCTCAGGGAGTGCGAAGCCGGCCCCGCCCCTGTTGCTGCGGCAGACGCCGTGCCTGTCGTCACTCCCGCCGACCAGTCAGTCGAACCGATCGAACCGTCCACACCGTCATTTCTCGCCCCTGCTGATGCTGTTGAGGTCACACTCACAGCCTCCGAGAACGATGAGCGTACTCGCCTCACGGCCGAGGACATGTTGCGTGACCTGAACAACATGCGCCCAGAACCATCACTGTCACGCCCCTACACACCCACGTTCTCGCGCCCGTTCTCACTTTCGTCTCGCCCGAGTGGCCGACTCACCGATGCCAAGTTCCGTCGACTTTGTCAGCGAGAGCGAGAAGAGCAGATGCTTGATGCCGTGCATTCCCAAGTCTTCCGTTCAGCGTCATCCGGCCCTATTGTTCCCGACGAAGGGCAGAAACACTATGCTCGTCAAGTCGCTGCTCGCTCGGACCGTCCGCCTCGTGTGCGCGAGCCTCCTCGTGTAAGGCCACCAAAGACCGACTCAGAAGCCCTTACTTCTGTCCCTCCCGCCCGCCCTGGTGCCGTTCTTCCAGACGGGGGCGTTTCTCTGAGCGATGGGGGGGGTGCAGCCGAGCACGATGATGCGGCTGCTGCCGAGAAGAAGAGAAAGGAGGCACACGAGAAGATCATGAGCCGCCTGTCGGTGCCCGTCAATGTGTATGAAGGACTGACCGATGAGCAGAAGAAAGAGTTGATAGACCTTCTCGTCCGATACGATGACGTCATGTCCAAACACGATGAGGACCTGGGAGAAGCGAAGGGCATCAAACACGACATAGACGTAGGTGACACACCGCCCATTCGCAAGAGAGCGTACCGTGTCGCATTCAGCCAGCGCGACTGGCTCCGCAAGAAGCTCGACGAGATGCTCAAGGCGGGGATCATCACACCGTCTTCTTCGCCATGGCAGTCACCGATCATACTCGTACCGAAGAAGTCGGGTGGTCTCCGTCTTGTCGTCGACTATCGCGCCCTCAATGCCGTCACCAAACCTGACCACTACCCACTGCCCCGCATCGATGAGACGCTGAATGCACTGCATGGATGTGCCTTTTTCAGCCATGCGGACTGCAAGTCTGGGTTCTGGCAGATTGGGCTGACTGAGGGCGCGAAAGAGCTGACCAGTTTTGTCACTCCTTTTGGTGCCTTCAAGTTCGAACGAGCCGCCATGGGCCTGCAAGGAGCGCCTGCGACATACCAGAGATGCATGGATAATGTGCTGCGCAATCTCAGCTGGGACGTGGCTTGTTGTTACATGGACGACCTCGTCATTATGGCTCCGACGTGGGAGGAACACATCCGCCGACTTGACTTGGGTCTTGGGCCGCCTCCGAGAGCATGACCTGAAGATCAAACCGACAAAGTGCTATTTTGGCTTCCCTGAGATAGCCTTTTTGGGTCACCGAGTCAGTCAGGAAGGGATAGGGACCGACGAGGACAAGGTCGTTGCCATCAAGAACATGCAACACACGTCGATGCTGACCCAGAAGGATGTGCGTGGGTTTCTGGGCATGACTGGCTATTACCACAAGTTCATACCCGCCTACGCGCACATTGCCGCACCGCTCACCGCCTTGACACGCAAAGACCTGCAGTACACGTACGAGGAACATTGGACCGACGAATGCACGCAGGCGTTCGAGATCCTCAAGGGTCTTTTGTGTCAGGCCCCCGTCCTGGCCTACCCTGATTTCTCGAAGCCGTTTGTGTTGAAGACCGACGCCAGCAATGTTGCCGTTGGTGCTGCGATGGTGCAGTGGGATGCCGAAGCCGAGCACGAGAGACCGATTGCCTTCGCCAGCCGCAAACTGACAGCCAACGAACCGACCTATGCATCACAAGAGCAAGAGGCACTCGCCGTCGTGTGGGCCATCAAGTACTTCCGACCGTACCTGTATGGGCGCCATTTCACCATCATGACCGACCACCGTAGCCTGCAGTCCTTGCCCAAGGCACATGAGAAAGGCAATTCGCGAGTGCATCGATGGTCCGTCTTGCTGCAGCACTACACATACACGATTGTGTGGAAGCCGGGAAGAGAGAATGGAGACGCTGACGCGCTCTCCCGTGTCCGAGCCACTCACTGGAACCCTCTCCCTCGCATCCGCACTCCTGTGACCGCCCATGACATGGAGTCATCCGTCTTGTGTGCCTTGACCGACGAGCCGCCATCCATCACTCTGCAGACATTCAGAGATGAGCAGAGGCAGGATCCCGTCATCGCTGCCCATGTGGCTTGCCATACGGATGGCACCTTGCCCGACGACAAGAAGCTAGCCGCCGACATTCAGAGAACCGAATTCCAGTTTGAGTTGATCAAGGGAGTGCTCATGCACCTGCCGGAAAAGAGAAGAGTGCCCATCCCCCAGCTCCCCCGCATTGTGGTTCCCTCTTCCTTACGTCCGTTGGTGTTTGAGAACTGCCATGACTCGCCCTTGGCTGGCCACCTTGGCATCGCCAAGACACTCGATCGAATCTCGCATCGCTTCTGGTGGCCGACCATGTATCGCGACGTCACGACGTGGGTGGGATGCTGCAAGGTCTGCCAGGCCTTCCGACCTGCACGCAGGCAGAATGGCCCACTCATGCACCTTCCCGTGCATGAGAATGCGTTCGATTCCATCTCGGTCGACTTTGCCGGACCGTACCCGACCACCAAGCAGAAGAACCGATATATTCTCGTGTTCGTTGATCAGCTCACTGGCTGGCCAGAAGCCGTTGCCGTCAAGAAGAACGATGCCGTGACCGTTGCGCATGCCTTTGTCGATCTGATTGTCGTCCGACACGGCTGCCCGCGTCGCCTCCTCTGTGACCGTGGGTCGCATTTCCTGAATGAGTTGGTGGATGCCGTCTGTCACATCTTCCGCACTCGCCGCATCTTCTCGTCCGCATACCACCCTGAGACGAATGGACAGGCAGAGAAGATGGTTGGCACTGTCAAGAAGACTCTTGGGAAGTATGTCGCTTCCCACGAGAAGGATTGGGATGTGCTTTTACCTCTTGTTTTGTTTGGCATTCGATCCGCCACCAATGAGGCCATGGGGATGTCCCCCTTTGCCGCCTTGTATGGTCGCAAAGCCCGCCTGCCGTTGGATGTTATGGTCGCATGGGAGCAGCCGCTCGTTCTGCATGTGAACGACTACCGCCAAGAGCTCCTCCGACAGATGGCAAAGGTCCGTGCTATCTGCCGCGACAACAGAGAGGCAGAGCGAGTGAAGCGCATGAGGCGTGCGCCTCAGTCCTTACCGCGTCAGTATTCGCCAGGTGATGTCGTGTGGGTGATCAAGGGCGATCCGAAGGGCAAGAAGCCGGCCTTCCGCCCCACTTACACCGGCCCGTATCGTGTGATCGGCCCTTCGCGCAGATCGCCGCTCGACTATGAGCTCCGCCGTGCTGGTGAGGGAGCGCACCGTCGCCGACTGGTGCACATCAGCCGAATCCGCCCCTACCGCCTCCTTCCTGACCCGAAGTCGGAAGCCGACATGCCGTTGTTCCGCAAGCCGCTTCAGGGAGATGGAGGGGATGGAGGAGGTGATGATGCGCCACCACCACCACCACCACCGTCGGCACAGCCACCTGCTGTAGCCGGCCCGTCAGGTGACCGAGATGAGTGTCAGAGCGTTGATGTGGTGCCGCCTGCCGATGTTGCCGAGGCTGAGTCACCAGCCGCCCCAGAAGCCGCGAATTCTGCTAGCCCCGAGGGACCGAGAGCCTCTGATGAGGTGCCCGTTGCCCCCGCCCCGCAAAATGCATCGGAAGATCTTCCGCCGAGCCAGCCCGATCGGCCCGTCACCGACGCCCCTTCTGACCCCTCTGTCATTCCGTCTTCCCCTGTCGCTTCGAACCCCCCTCACTCACCCCCAGCCGAAGCTCCCGCCGATGACCGTCAAGTGAATTCTCCCGACCGTCATGACCGCCCCCTGTCACCGCCACACGATGAGCCACTCACTGTCGACGTGGTTCCACCTACTCATACACACACACAGCAACCGATGCATGCACCATTGCCCTCTGTCTCGTATTTGCCCCCGAGTGGCGAGTCTTCTTACCGTTCGATCAGAAATGACTCGCCGAGATCATCACCGACACCCGATGGGGATTCATCTCTCGACTCGAGAGCCCCTAGGGATGACAATTCACCTGCCATGCCACACACACCACACTCATATCAGTCATACCGCCCCAGTGAGGATCTGCCACCGCGCCCAGCTGTCATCGATATCCTCGATAGGAGGACCAGAGGGTCCGTAGTTGAGTACCGGGTTACTCGTAGGGGATGTGAACCGTCATGGGAAAGGGAGAGCGAGGTATCCGACCCCGATGCTGTCCGTGCCTTCGAGACCAAGATGGCATTCGACCTGCCCATGCAGCGCAGACAGCCACACACCAGGAAAGACGAATGAGCCTCGCTATCCGTCCTTCTCGGGCGCATTCGTGTCATGTGCGCGTATCCGCCTTACTTGTCCGTGGTTCTCTCTCTCTCGAACGAAGGGTATCGATCCAACTAGCCGCCTTGTATACGTGATGCCGGATGAAAGCGGTCCAGCAGTCGTCAGAGTGGGGATCCGAGTGTACCAAACGTGCCAATCAGCCGATGATAGAAAGGAGTGAGTAGAAGAGCTGCACGCCTTGGGTTCGTCGATGATCTGACGCGCGTCTTCACACCAACTCGTCTCGGTGATGAAGCCGCGTCATGCTGGGGTGCTACTCGCCGCCGGTAGCTTGCCCCCACCCAGCATCTACACAGATCATCTCCCTTGGTGTTGTCTTGCTTGGATGCTCTCTCCCGGATGTCATCGTGTTAGACAGGCTTGTAGGCACTTAGATCTCCCGATTGATGGCCGACTGGAGGCGTATGCTTCCTCTGGAAGTGATTCTGACTCACTTGTGCTTGGCGCGCTAGAGCGGAGCGATCGCGACAGAAATAGTGGCACGTGTGCTATTTCGTGCTTCCGCCAACGGCAGCGTTCCGCGCTGCCCCCTCCTTCGTCTGTGAGAGCCAACGACGCCCCTTTCCCCTCCTTTTTCGTGTTCCCCTTCCCTCCGAGTCCGCCCGTGTGCTCTTCTGCGTTCTCTCCCCCCCCCCTCACTCGTCGATTCGATGCACACCGGCACCGAGCAGAACTACCGAGTGCGCCTCAACCGACGTGATTTGCCTACCTACCTGCCGGAAATCGCTCGCTACGTCAAGCGACTCGGCCGAGGAAAGGCCAACCTCCTTCTCAACTTTGAGGAGAATTATCCGACATCGCCCGTCCGTGCGTCCCCTCAGGACCTCGCCACCGGCCAGTTGGGCTTGCCCATCCAGCCGCAGGACCAGGGGTTCGTCAAGAATGTGTATATCCAGCGCGCCACCATCGTCTATGTGGGTGACATCCACACCTTCGTGACCCTCGCCCGTGCGTTTGAGCCGACCTGCAGCTTCTCCGTCGAGGTGTGCATCAACGAGCCGAGCTTGGTCGAGAACGTGACGCAGGTGTGCGAGATGATGAAGATGGGAGGTCGTCTGGACGACTCGTATATATGTGATGGCGTTTTTGTGAGTGGATGTGAGTGTCAGTACTTTGGCCGCCGTGTGACCGTCCGTTTCTGCCGACTCGACCGACCGACCCGATTGGTGTGACCGAAATGGTGGAACTCACCGAGAAGCGTGACATCCCCATCAAGTTTATGTGTCTGTTCGAGCCGCCCCAAGTTGCCGTGCACGACCGGGAGAGTGTGTCGCCGTCGCAGTCACCCAGCACATCGCCACCACCACTGCCACCGCCCGGCTTTCCGCCCACCCCGTCTATCGTCGTGTCTGCTTTGCCGCCGTTGCTGGCCTCGCCGAACACGTCGCCCGACTCTGAGCCGATCCGACCCCAGTCGTTCAGTCAGAGCCAGGCCGCCGCCAGTGCATCTACCTATAGCAGCAACGGACAGGGGAGGCAGAAGAAGGGCAGGAAGGGAGACAGGAAGTGATGGGAACACAGGCCACACACATGGGCGTGGGATGCATGGTGTTGTCATGTGATGTGATGTGTTGTGTTTGTTGTGGTGTGTTGCCGAGTGCAGATGTGTTTCGCCTCTTTACCGCCAATCCACCGACTTGCCGACTCTGTCTCGTGACACCGACATGTGTATGGTCTCTGCGCCGCCCACCGCCGGTGATTTTGTTCGGGATATCCGTGCCTCGCGTTTCGAGCGGCGGGGTGGTGATGCGTAGTGGACCCCTCGCATCGATGTTGTATATGTGGATCTGTGTCGCGAGTCCCGTCTATCCCTCCGACAAGGTGTGTACGAACCGAAAGGAAGAGCAGACAGACTGAAGGACGCATACATGGAATGAATGGATGTGTATGGACCGTCTGCCGCACACACAACCGACCTGTATGTGGGTGTTCCCGCATCCACGTGACCACCGCCTCCGCATATGTGTGCAGCCGACGGCCGCGTCTACCATATATGTGAGCACAAAGTGTTTGTCTTGCTCGCGCCATGTGTATTCCGACGGATGTGTTGCGTGTCTGTCGATGGGTGCGTGCGAGTGACTGACTGCCTGTCTGCCTGGATGGATGGATGTGTGTCTGGATAGATACATGGATGGGAGCCGATGGATGGGCATGGGAAAGAGAGAGATGTGAATGTGTCTTTGTCCACGGAGGAGAAGCGAGCCCTTACATGACATGAATGATGCTGTCTGTAGCCGTCATGGTGTAGCGTGCCAGTG